GCATAGCTCCTAGGATCATTGGGACACTCAAACCCCTCCACCACGATAAGGTAGCAGCCCAAGGAAAAAGTGAGTTGATTTGTTATATTGAAATGTCTCCTGGGTGAGGAAAAATACATGTACACAGTTTTTTTAACATTAATTGACAAAAGATTAACTTGAAGCCAACCATGAAATGTCTGAAGATCTAATAAGATCCTAATGTTGATTCTTTTAAAACTTTCCAATTATTAATTCCGGCAAAATTCATTGATACTAGAGTTAGATCTAGCGCTGATTCATTTCCATTTCTAATATCAATTCTTGTCCCTTCTCCATTATTAATACAAACTAATTGTTTCTTATCCATTATTTGTTCTACCACTTCTCCCACACAGTGCTAAAGGCATTAAAATCTCCACAACAAATTAGATTTCTTCCTAAAAAAATTTACATTTCCACCATTTGATCTAAATTCAGTTTTTTTACAAGGATTTTAAAAATTTAGTATCTTAATATTTTCTTAATTAACCCAGATTTCCACAGATAACCATTCTAAAGATGACCCTTTATCTAAAAACCTATACTGAATTCCTTGCTTAACAAATATTACACAACCTCCTCCACTTTCTTGCTCCCTGTCCTTTCTAATGCCATCATATCCCGATATCACAAAATCAAGCTCTGGTTTAAGCCATGTTTCCTGAACACAAATATCTGGTTTAATCTCCAAACTATTTAAATTTCCTTTAAATTCTTGACCATTTGCCAATAGACTTCTTGCATTCCATTGTAAGATAATCATTACAATCTTCCTCCTTGTTTTCCATCCGTTTCAAGCCTTTTATTTATTAGTTCACAAGATAAATCCTTCACAGCTAAAATTTTCTGCACCTTTCACTATAATTTTATTTTTTTCTGTTTTACTTGATCAGTACAGTTGATTACATACGCCATGAATAATATTAATTTATCTCTAAAATAATATTTTTCTCCAACAATTAACTTCTCATTAACTACTTTTTTGCAAATGTTGTCYATCTGCATGCATTTATTCTTTTGATCTTCAGCTTTGCATTTTATCAACATGTTTCCATCTCGTAATATTTTAACAAARTCCACCTCRCCTYTTTTCTTTTTTATTTCTCTTGAAACTTGTATCGGACTCAGGTTAATATTCATATCTTCCTTCCTGAATTTAAGAATTACCTTAAATTCTTCGTTTGTTACTTTCTTCCTGACCGCTCTGTTTTCTTCATCTGAGCTGCACWRTTCCAAACTTCGTTTACTATTCTGGCTACCAATTTCTTTATCCTCTTTCA